ATAGGAACTGCAACTTCAAATTTCCTTTTAAGTTTAGTAAGTGCTCGTACTTGACAACGGATCTCCCCCACCCTGACAGCTATGTTGAGTTGTGGATATGGCTCACTGCAATAAACTTATAAACATCATGACTCACAAGGACAGATCCACTTAATAGATATCTATCATTATGAAAATGGATATTTTAATACATGCACCTCCTTGGTAGATCAAAAGTAACTACAGAGGCAATTCTTCAGAACGCAGACAGAATAAGATTTGCCAGGCAGCCATTCACCCTTAGGTGACAGCCTCTGCTTATGCTGAAGCTTGTTTTAGTCTAGGTAAGTCACTCAACCACACACACACACACACACAAACACACACACACACACACACACGCCAATGGGCTCTGTGGCTTCTATGAAACTACATGAGGACATTTTGTGTCTGTACTGAAATGGCAGAAAAATCTAGCACATTCTCATGACAACTGAATGCCCCAAGTATGTGGAGTGCATCTATTTTATAAAAAGTCAACAATCCATGGTGCAGGCCTATAGAAGTAGTCTGTGTGATGAAAAGCCTTATTATTATTTTTTTTGCCACTGTAGATAATACTTTTTTTTTTTACACCTCAAATATACACAGTTTTATTTGTCAATTATACATTAGTAAAGTGGGGTGGGGGAAAAAAAATCAAGCCATGGTCCAACCATACTTTCTTAATTATCAACATGTGGAGAATCCATTCCAGGATCGCATTTCCACTTTAATACGGGCCCTTTGCCACTTATTGCTGCTCTTAATGTATTAGAGTCAGGACACGCAAGCTAATTTTATTATTAGCCTACAGAAATATGTGGGGAGAGAGAAATCCACTGCAAAATCAATCAAGTATTCCAAGGCCAAATGAAAAAATAAAGCCCATCGCTTGCTTTCAATTCTACAAGCCATTACTTGTTTCCACTAATGTAAATGGGTGAGAAATGACAAGGCTCAGGGGTGGAGGGAGCCTGGGTGGCTCCTTCAGTTAGGCCTCTGACTTCGACTCAGGTCATGATTTCACGGTTCATGAATTCAAGCTCTGCATCGGGGTCTCTGCTCTCAGCATAGAGCCTGCTTCAAATCCTTTGTCCCCCTCTTTCTCTGCCCCTCTCTCACTCATCGTCTCTCTCTCTCAAAAAAAAAAAAAAAAAACCCATTAAAATAAAAAAGAAATTAATTGGGCACCTGGGTGGCTCAGTTGGTTAAGCATCTGACTTTGGTTCAGGTCATGATGTCACAGTTTTTGGGTTCGATCCCCATGTTGGGCTCTGTGCTGATGGTTCAGAGCATGGAGCCTGCTTTGGATTCTGTGTCTCCCCCTCTCTGTGCCCCTCTCCCCACTCATGCTCTCTGCCTTCCAAAAATTAACATGGAAAAAAAATTAAAAATAAAAAAAGAAATTACTGATATGACATTACTGTCAGGTAACTGAGCTATCCATCTGAGAATTCCCAGAGAACTGACCCTCACCTCATCATGACGCACTTAAATTTTGGGTAGACAAAATCAGACTTGTGTATGAAAAGAATGGTTTTGAATGGTTTCAGATCATAGGCAGGGGACCAGGTCAGAGACTGTAAATAGTTCATGGAGGAGAGGATTTTAAACAGAATCTTAAAAATTACAAGGAAACCCTCAGTGGATCAATCAGTGCAGGCTGGTGTCATACTGACCCTGAGCGATACAGAGAGGCATGGAGTTATGTGATCCTCTAATAAAGCATTCAGAGTGCTGGGCTGTTTAGTAAGGTTTTCTGAATTTTTTTGGCTCTTTTACTGATGCTTGTACTTTCTATTGCTAGCAGTCTACTCCTTGCCCTAATAAGTTATGTGCTGAGAAACCATATCCTCATGTTGGTTAGAATTACACCTTTTGTATCACAGATTTTAGAAGACATTTTGGCTTACATTTTCTTGGCTGTATTCCCAAGAGCTGAATACAGGACCTCGAGAAAAATGAGGTCTTACTGTATTTATAGGAGCCTTTCACCTATTAAAGCTTTTAAAACAGTGTTCTACATGTGATGTATATCTTGGTATAATTTTTTCCACAGGGTAGTTCTTCTACCCCACAATATCCAAGAGACAGAACCTATTTTATTAAAAAGGGTATGACTAGGTTGACTTCTGAAAATATCCTTTCTTCCTGATTAAAACCAATGAGGTGAACATGGTCAAGATAACAAGAACATGAACTAAAGAAAAATTTTTTTGTAATGTTTGTTTATTTTTGAGAGACAGAACACAAGCAGGGGAGGGGTGGAGAGAGAAGGAAACACAGAATCTGAAGCAGGGTCAGGATGTGAACTGTTAGCAGAGAGTCTGACATGGGGCTCGAACTCACGAGCCATGAAATCATGACCTGAGCAGAAATCAGATGCTTAACCTACTGAGCCACCCAGGTGCCCCAGGAACATGAATCTTAAAAGAACCACTGCCTTCTGGAACATTAAGAACCTTATTTATTTAAAAAAAAAAAAAAAAAAAAAGTAAAAACCCTATTTATTACTTGTTGACTTTAATGTTTTCTGAGCCTTGTCAACCAAGAGGTTAAGCTCTGGAAGAAATCTATTTCTCTTCCAGGTTCACAGACATTCTATCAAAATGGCACACATTTCTCTGTGGCTTCTGTGAAAGACGGGCGGAAAAAGTGCTAGAAAATAAGGCCAAGGCAGCACCATGGGCAGTGGTGCTGATTCAAGGACACACTGTGATTGTGGAACAAAAATGTACTCCTAAGGCCTGTCCAATTTCACTACTAAAAACTTGAAGAATCAAGTGGCAGCTGAATTTTAAGATGAATCTGTACATCATTAACAGCTATAGGAAAAGACCCTAAGATTAGGGTCAGCTAAATACCAGCTACTCTGGGTCTCACCTCCCTCCCGCCCCCATGTCTTCCTACTCCATCTGCCCATCAAATCCCCTGCTCCGGACAAAACAAACCCCTCTTCTTCTACCCCATCTCTACAATGATCCAAGTTTCTGACCAAACTTAAAGGCCAATTTGAACCACTGTAATTTTTTGTTCCCCAAACTCCTTGTGGCTTTTTACCCAACCTCTAATTAATTAATTAAGAGCCAATTAATTAATCAATTACCCTGCGCCTCTAAACCTTTATCAACACTCTTGACCTTATTTTCTCCCTCCAGCTTCAGGGTCCTGCTCCATAGATTTCCCCTCCTTTTTCCTATCATCAACTAATTCTCCTCCAGGGACCTTTCTCTCATCTTACAAACTTGCTCACTGTGCCTTGTCCTAGAAGCAAACAAAAACAGATCAAGGACACCACCATTCTCCTTCCAGTCTCACTTCTCAATGCGGTCTGCTTTCCCCCACAACAACTAAATGTTTTTCCTCAGCTGTTGTCCTGACAAATGTGGGGAAGGTGGGATCTCCTCTCACTGTGTGACTTTCCCACTTGTCAGGTCATGCCCTCGCCTGGTCTCTGCGATCTAGGTGTATGCATTCAGCACTTTAACAGACCAGTTCTCAAAAGAATTATTCACTGCCTCCGAGGAGTCAGGTATCTTCGGGCTATTTGGGCTATTCATCCTCTTTGATCACTTCACAATTAATATTCGGCAGTGCTGGTGATCCCTCTTTCTAGAAATTTCCTACTGTTCGTTCTCTGATGCTGAGCTTTCCTAGTTTATTCCAATGTTCGTATCTTTTTCGTAGCTTCCTTTTTCCTCCTGTTCCTTATTCCTTAGCTTATTTTATACAAGCTCATTCATTCTATGGCTTCACAGCTAGGTTTTCATGCTCTTAATTTCCGTCTTCCAATTCCTCTCCCCATTGTGGGTGCCATCATTCCACTGAGTGACCCCTAATGTGAGAAATCCAATGGGCTCTTCAAGGCCTCATTTTACTCAACTTCTCTCCACACATTCAGACACTGTTGGCCATTGTGTTCCTTTCCTTCTGCTTCCTTGACATGTCATTCCCTCACTTCCTTTAATCTTTCTGGCATCTTCCTTCTTCTTGTGCAAACCCTTTCTTTTCTGCCCAAACATTAAATGTTAAGTTCTTTAAGCCAACTGAGAGCTCACTTCCAGCTTCAGTTATATGGATATATGGAAGACTCACAAATATATACTGACAGTCTACACAACATGTTGGTGTTGTTTAGCATTAGTTATTGTTATAACCACCTCCTGATTGGAGGCTGGGCATAAATAGGGAATTCGTATTATTTACGAAATTAATGTTATTGATTTAACAAGTGTGAACACTGGTTTTCAGAATGGAACGGATTGTTTTCTGACTATTTCACTGTTTAACTGTCCAGTGCCACAACTGGTGTTTGTAATAATGGCTGTAGTTTTACAAGAACACCCTTCTGCTTGATCAAGTCTGTGTTTTATGGAAGGACGTTTGTATTTTTAAAAGGTTTTTATCCACAAAAGTTTAACAAATTTTAAAGTTCTGGGTCTTCATCCTCAATGACTTCACTTTTGAGCCAAACTATATAAAGGAGGTCTTGCTGAACATTATCACATAAAAATTGGCACTGACCATACAGGAAATAGGATGCATATTTCAATGTCTTTTGTTTGAAGGATTCTAGGGAATTATTAATATTTAAAAGTATAAATTGGTTCATATTCTGGTTTGTACAGCCAGAAATTAAGCAGTAAAAATATTTCAGTTGATATCTAAACAGACTTGATATATTTTAGAAAAATGTACTAAGAAAATGAAATCTATCCCTGGAGTATTGTTTTAACATACAGCTTCAATCATTTAAAAAGAGCAACTCTGCCTTTCTGAGATTAAATCATGATCATTAGACTTATTACAGATAAGGCACTGCTATGAAGATAAATGTGGTCAAATAGACAACAATAAAAATCACCCAGAAGTCTAAAGAGATTGACTGCTGGAAGAATCAATCAAACACAGTAAAGCACAGAAGAGCCTGAGCCACTTTCCAAAATTCAAGCAACTGTGCGACTTCACTGTTCCCATACCTGCGGTGGGGGAGTTTGCGTGGTGAGACTTTTTCGGCAGGTTGAAGATCTGTTCGCCAGGGTCAGGGGGAGGGATCGCATCTTGCCCTTGCCGTGCTTCTACAGGATCGTACTCCTTCCCATCGTAGTTAGCATCATAGAATTTTTTAAACCACTGAATGAAATCCAGGTTGTCCTGGAAACGCCCCTTCACCAGCTTCTCCACCGGGATCACCTGCAATATAAAATCGCCACGTAAGCTGTGAACCTGTTTACAAGTACTTAACACAACTGAAGCATTTCCTATAAGCTATTTTCTACGTGTCCGTGATTATTCACTACTGGTCTCCCTCTCGGATTCTTGGCCAGCTATATTCTAGAATTCACCTATTTTTTCATCATATTCAAGCAAATTAAAATGCTGTAGGTGGTTCTTCTGAATTATTTCACACCTCTGAACCAATGAGATGAAACAAGGAATATCCTAGCTGTCAGAAGGGGGCTGATCCTTTTCAGGATGTATTTGATTACACAAGCATCTCCATGCAAAAATGGGCCTAGGATGTTGTGCTAGTTCAAGATTGATGGGTTTTCCCTATTTCTTTCTTTTTTAAAAAATGTTTGTTTATTTATTCTGAGACAGAATGAGGCAGTAGGGAAGAGGCAGAGAGGGCTGGCAGTGCAGAGCCTGATACAGAGCTTGAACCCATGAACTGTGAGATCATGACCTGAGCAGAAACCAAAGAGTCAAGACACTTAACTGAGTGAGCCGCCCTGGTGCCTCTTCTGTATTTCTTTCTAACACCTGCTGCTGTCGGGCTGCAATAAACTCCTGTAAGGATTACAGCCTCCAAAGGATGTGAATGAATGAGACTCAAATCAATGCAAACATACACATATCTAACGGTTTGTATGAAGCAAAATGAACTTTCCTGTTTATTTTGTTGACAATGTAGAGAGACAGCATTATAAACAACTGCCTGCTATACAGGGCCTAGCAGTTCACAGAGTACACAGGAGCACAGCTAATGCCCATGGGGGTGCACAGGGACAGACATGGGGTCTGGAGGAGGCCCTGAAGGCATTCTAGAAGAGGACGTACTCCTTATTCACCTCAACTTCTGAGACACATCGCAGCTTTTCATAGAGTAACCCTTCCTACTGGCATCCTAGACAGCCAATAGGTCCTCCCTTTAGAGGTCGTATGAGAACTCTCAGAATGATGACAGAAAGAAATGTGGGGTGACTCAGTAGCTTCACTTCAATGGGCAGCTATTTTTGAAGGAAAATGGAAAAAGAGTTATGCAAATTGTGCCATTACCACATTCTGACTTCCTCATATTTGAGTCGGAATCCTAGCTGAATGTAGGCCATGCCAGTTACAAAGCTAGGGAGTGAGTCAGATTTTGTGCACACAATTCAGACACATACCTAGGGTTGAAAGCACACAGCTTCACTGACTAAGAATGTGAACAGAAGCCATATAAATTAAATTTTCAGCAAAGCTTTGCCATCTCAGGAACTAGATACCACTGATATCCTAAACTAGACTGTCAGCACCACTTAAAAAATAGAGAACGACCTCTATCAATGATTGCTTGAAGAAAAAAAACCAACTGAAGCACTTTAGGCTAAATCATTAGCAGTACATTTTTATAATGTTCTTTAATATATTTTTTATTTTAAAGTTTTATTTATTTTGAGAGGGAGAGAGAGCACACGTGCACACAAGAAAATCAGGGAGGGGCAGACAGGGAGAGAGAATCCCAAGCAGGTTCTAAGCTGTTAGCATGGATGCTGACATGGGGCTTGATACCCATGACCCTGGGATCATGACCTGAGCCGAAATCAAGAGTCGAACATTCAAGTGACTGAGCCACTGAGGTGTCCCAGCCCTAAGTATATTTTTCAAAAAATGTTTTTGATAAAGCTAAAACTGAAATGAACTCAAGTCGAGAGACAAAGACAAGCAAGCTTTGGGAGGAGACTATTTTTCATGAAGACTTCCAATGAGGGAGACTTGGGTGTAGATCTCTCTCTTCCCAAATCTCACTGAAGTCCACCCACAGGGAAGAAGTCCTTCCACACATGCACTTAATATTTGACTTTTTATTGTATTAAATATTTTCATGTCTTCTGATTTATAATTTTGTTTATGCTGATACGGATTTTTAAGTGCCTTCTTAGAGCATAAGTCCCTTTAATTAGCAGGCTACTTTGTTTTATTTTCTGCCCAATGTGAAAATTTAGAAACAGTTTTAGATGATGGTCCTACATTAACTGTTCCAAGTAGGCATTTAACTTCTGTTAATTTCACATTTCCCATCAAAATGAAAGTTTTGGGGCCTAAGTTCAAAATCTCGGTGGCAAGCGAATCCTCACGCAGATGCTTTCTGCCTGCTGTCCTGCTCGGACAAACGTGCACAAGGACCACTGTCTATGCATGGATCCTTGGTAGAATCATCACACAGTATGCTCGAGAGGCCAGGAAAGGTGACTGGGGCCAAGCTCCCTCCACTACAAGAATTTTATCCTAAACATTCTTTAAGTATACACTTCCACGGAGATATGGAGCCCCCTAATCTGTTACATATCAAGTTGTGACTGGATGTTTTTCTTTTTAATCTAGAAGCATGTATAGAGAAAGGATACAGAAATGGATAGAGAAGTTATGCTGTTAATGTGTAACGAGAACCTATACAGCTCTGATTTAGAATAGATATATATATAAGAGCTAACTGGAAATTAACCACAGCAAAGGACAAAGTTGAAAAGACTCCAAAAAGGTTTAAATGTTAGGGGTTATATCTTTTGAAATAAAAATTCAGAGAAAACAAGGCAAGATTTTAATATTTTGGTAAGAATTCTTTCATTTAGGATGATAATTGCATTAAAAATGTGTGTGGTTTAGCAAACTTTTCTCTTTTCCTTTAACCTGTCTCTTACAACACAGTATTTAAAATTTTTGTTTCCATGTAGCCTATTTATTGCTATGATTGATGCAAAGTTGTTTGTTCTTCCCCTGCTGCCTTTTTTCTTTCCTTTATTGAAAATTTGTTTCTTCCCAAACCTATTCCCTGTAAGAGATACAGCCATGGTAAAGAATATGGATTAAATATGTATCTGAGTAACAGGAGCCATGCAGAGTGGACTTCAGTGATAGTACTCTGATGGGAGAAGAAAGGACTCCAATCTACTTTATCGGTACCACGCTGGGACACAACTCCAATATTTAAAGGGCGGGGGTGGGGGGAGGTAGTTTATGGAGACTGAACAAGAAGCTGAGTGTATATACTATGCTCAACATTTTGATACACATTCCCTCACTTTCACATCATAACTACAGAGAAAGGGGTTATAGTCCCACTTTATAGATGGGTAACTCAAAGAATTCAAGTAACCTGCTCCAATCCTGGACATGGGATACAAACGTATGCCATTTCCACTGTAACCTGCCTTTTCCCTCCAAAGGAACAAAATACACAAAGAACCACAGTGGCATCTGGCAAACAAAAACTTCTCATCTGCAATGCTAAAAAAGAACATTTTTACCTGTGTAATTACTTTTAGTTTTTAATCTAATGGCTGTTAAGTTTAGAAATTTCCTTAAATAAAAGCGTTATACAAATATAGGAAGTGAGAGCTGAAACTTTATGCTAGGTACAGACCCCCAATGACTTTGACAATATTGAGGTATATGCCTTCAGATTTTTGCATTTTGGCACAAAAATAATTTTCAGGAAAGATTATGCATTTTATGGAGGTAGAAGTTTCTTACCTTATCAACATTCATTCGCTTAAACGATGCTTGCAGAAGTTTAAAATTGTGAATATACTCATGCTCCAACTTTGCTTGAAATTTTACTTTCTTCAAACTAATGCAGCCTGGAAAGAGCATGTCCATGAACTGGCAATAAGCAGCCCCTGGAAAGAAAGGAGAAAAAGGCTGATTAAGTCTGACTGTTCCCAAGTGTGACTGAGGACTGTTAGGCAGGAAGGAGCCCCCCAGCTGTGTGATCCTCTCCTCAATGTGCTGGGAGCCCAAGATGGAAAGGACTGTGCCTCCATGCAGCTCCCGCCACTTTTCCCATTCCTAGCCACTGTGGCATTGATGCTGTGTTCACCAGAGCATCCCCACATTCCACAATGAACAGAAATACTTTTTTAAAAAATGCTTATCTATTTTGAGAGAGACAGAGAGAGAGAAAGAGAGAAAGCGTGAGCAGAGGAGGAGCAGAGAGAGAGACAGAGAGAGAAAGAGAGAGAGAGAGACCTAAGCAAGCTTCACGCTGCTAGTACAGAGCCTGATGCAGGGCTCCAACACATTAACTGCGAGATCATGCCCTGAGTTGATACCAAGAGTTGGTTTAAGCAATGGAGCCATCCAGGCACCCCAATACGTTTTGAGAGAGAGAAAATGCTAGTGTGCACAAGGCGGGAGACAGGGAAAGGGAGAGAGAGAATCTTAAGCAGTCTCCACACCCAGGGCAGAAAGAGGCGAGGATTGATCTCATGACCCTGGGATCATGTCCTAAGCCAAAATCAAGAGTCAGATGCTTAATCCACTGGGCCACCCAGGTGCCCCTAGAAATACTTTAATGGCAAGGAACTCAGGGTTAGAATAACTCTTCTTAGCTTCTATCAGAAAAAAAGGAACACTTTTTTCTTCCCTCTAGATGCTACCTTCTCCAAGTTATCAAAATATACAGATGAAAACAGAAATTTTAAACATAAGAAAACTACAAAATTTCTCATGAAATGCCTAGCTCAAAAAATACACATGCAAATACGAATATACCCAAGCTGTTTTATATCCATCTTGCAAAATGACTTAGGTGAAACTGGATAACTAAACCATCTAATGCCAAAAACAGTTGTATACCAATTTAATTCCAGTCTAGAGCAATGGGGTCCTATATTAACATGAAGGATGAAGACAAGGAGACTCTGAAACTTCCAGAAGTTCCGAGTCATGCTGTTTATGACTGAGAAATAAAAATAACAGAAATGTTCAATGAGTCTCCTGAGGAAACGATCATAGAAAAAAGGATTAAGCCTTTCATATGTATTTTTTTAATGAAGAACTCTTACATCATGACAATTTCCACTAGAAAATCCTAGCAAGATCATGTTTATGGATTCATATCTTCTTAATAGTTAGGGCTATAGGCATTCAGAAAAAGAAATTCAAAGCCAGAAGGAGGAAAAGTAATTGAGTGGCAAGAATGGGAACAAGATGCCATTTCTGTCCCCCCCCCCCCGCCCCCTTCTTCAGATCTCTTGGTCTGTTTCTATCATGTGCCCACGATGGCTTTTCTGTAACATGAAGGACTTCCCCTCATCTTCTGGCATTAAGGTTTCTGTGGGAAGCTCTTTATTCTATTCGGGTGATTTACCTTTACATGGGAAGAAGCCAAATGATCTCTTATGTCACACAGATGTTGAGCATCCTTTACTGAGATAGGAATCTAAGAGAGAGAGAACAAAGTGTCCGGGATCTAAGGGTTGCCTCAACAGGAAGTGGTGCGGCAACTCCTTGTTCAGAGGTAATAGTATACAGGCATGAAATATAGTCCATGGTAAAACCACCTCCAGAGTCTTTGCACCTATGAGGTTTCTCCTTAGATGCCCATACCCTGAGCATGAACTAGTAACATTCCTACTCAAGCAGATGGGTTCTGTTAAAAACAAAACAAAGCCAAATAAAAACCACTGGAGGAGAGAAGAGAGACATCACAATCTTGGGGGACATTCTTACAGTCATAATTCAATTATTCAGGTCTTCCTTTTCAAGTACCACCAGATGGAACAAATTCAAATAGCCATTTGAACATTATTTTTGCCAGAGATGAGGAGGTCTATAAACACAACGGTCTCATCACCTGCTTTTTGCAGAATTATTTTTCTCTAGCATCCAGCATAAAATGTACTTATGAAGATCCAGATACCTATGTATTCTTAAAAACCAACCAACCAAGTCACTCACTTCCAAAATTTACAAAGTAGTAACAGCTTTTGGATAAAAAACAAACTTGAATACAGGGAGGGGAAAAAGGAAAAACCCTCTCTAGTTCACCTAAAGAGAGGCACTTTAATGTTCTGGTATATACCATTTTAGTATTAGTTTTTAAATTTTAGGAGACTGATCCTCATCTGGGTCACATTTAAAACTGACATTATGTTTTATTTATTTCTGAGAGAGAGAGAGAGAGAGAAAGAGAGAGAGACAGACAGACAGCATGAAAAGGGGAGGGTCAGAGAAAGAGGGAGATACAGAATCTGAAACAGAATCTGAAATCTGTCAGCACAGAGCCCAACGCGGGGCTCGAACCCACGAACCATGAGATCATGACCTGAGCTGAAGTCGGATGCTTAACCGACTGAGTCACCCAGGCGCCCCATGTCTGACATTTTTAATGGCTGATTTTCATATCATGCTAAGCAACTTCCCCAAACCAAGATTAGATATTCACATATATTTTCTTCAAGTATTTTGTGGTCTCAAGTTTTACATTTACATCCTGAATTCAGGCAGAATTTATTTTGGTCTAGGACATAGAAGATGGCTCCAATTTTAGTTACTCCAAATGTTAGTGGGAATCTGTCATTTTTGGCTCCCCAACACTTGGGCACTTTCCCACCTGGTTGATGCTACAGTGCCCTGAATTCCGTCTCAGTACAGATAGGGGGCAAATATCCTTTTCCCCATCCCCAGCAGTCAACATGCAGGCCTGTGACCTGGGCTATGTTTGGGGCTCAAGAGTCTTGACAGTGACAGAAATACACAAGAAATATTAGAATTTAATCACAGTAGCATTGGTGGGATCTAGAGTCCTGTGACAGCAAAACAGTGGCATCCTAGTCCAGTAGCAAGAATGGTTGCTTGGTTTCTCAAGGATGCCAAGCTACCAAATATCCTTCCTGTGAGTTTGTCTCTGCTTAAGCTTCCACAATTATTTTCTGCTATTTTCTTTCCTTTCTTTATGGGGGGGGGCGCGTGTGTGTGTGTGAGTACAGCTTTTTGTTCTATTTTTATTGAAGTCCAGTAGATTTAGAGTAGAATCCAGTGATTTATCTCTTACATATGACACCCAGTGCTCATCCTGAAAAGTGCCTTCCTGAATGCTCATCACCATTTACCCCATCCCACACCCCCCACCAGCAACCTTCATTTTCTGCTATTTTCAACCATAAATGCCAACTGTTAGAGTAAACTAAGCGTTGACATCATTTCGTAAATAATCTATATTTTTCCCATTATCTTCACTATATATTCCTTTACTAATACATGCATTTAGGTCTCTTTCCAGACTTGAAATAATTTTGGTCTGTCCCAGTGATAGGTTCATATTATTTGCTAATTACATGCTATAATGTGTTATTACCTATAGAGTAATTTCCCCTTTCTCAAAATTGTCCCAAACTTTATCATTCATTTATTCTATTTTTGTGTTTGTCATTCATGGCATATAGAAAATAGATTTCCTTTGAAAATTAATCATTTGCTAAGTAACAGCTCTATTGAGATACAACTCCTTTATCATAAAGTTTAACCTTTTAAAATACAGTTGATTCTTGAGCAACATCGGGGTTACAGGCACTGACCCTCCCATACAGTTAAAAATCTACATGTAAGTTTAGACTCTCCAAAATCCAAACCACAAATAACCTACTGCTGACCAGAAGACTTAATAATAACAGTTGACACATTCTGTAGGTTATGTATTTTCTATTCAAATACTGCCTTCTTATAATAAAGCAAGCTAGAGAAGATGTTAGGAAAATCATAAGAAAAAAACATTTACAAAACTGTACTGTATTTATCTAAGAAAACATACACATGTAAGTGGATCAGTGCAGTTCAAATCCATGTTGTTCAAGGATCAGCTGTAAACAATTCTGTGCCTCTGAAGATATTCATAGAATCGTGCATCCATCACTACTATTTAATTGCAGAAGATTTTCATTATCACCAAAATAAACTCCATACCTCTTAGGGGCCACTCTATCCCCTCCCCTCTGCCCTGATCCTGATAACCAACCAGTAATCTATTTTCTGTCTCTATGGACCTGCCTCTTGTGGATATTTTATATAAACACATACAAAATATGTAGTCTTTGGGTCTGGTTTACCTTAGCAAAATCTTTTCAAGGTTAATCCATGTTGTGGTGTGTAGTGGAACATCATATTCCTTTCTACAGCTTAATAATACTCTATTGTATGTATATGCCACATTTCATTGATTTACTCATCAGTTGGTGAACATTTGGGTTTTTACTTTTGGGCTATTAGGAGCAATGCTACTATGAACTCTCGTGTACAAGACTGTATGCGGACTTAAGTTTTCACTTCTCTTGGGATATGGTACACCTCCATGTTTAACATGTAAGGAACTGCCAAACTTTTTTTTATTTTACATTCCCACCAGCAACATACAAGGATAGTAATTTCTCCACATCTGCACTAGCGCTTACTGTCTTTTGGATTCTAGCCATCCTAATAGGTGTAAATTTTGATTTAATTTCCCTAAAGACTAATAATATTAAACCTCATTTTCATATGCTTTTTGGCTATTTCTATATCTTCTTTGGAAAACTGTTTATGCAAATCCTTTGCCAATTTTTAACTTGGGTAATTTTTTCCTTTTATTGGTAAGGTGAAAATTCTACATTTTAGATACAAGTCTCTAATCAGATATCTAATTTGCAAACACTTCCTCAAACAGATATGTAATTTGTGGACTGCCTTTTCACTTTCTTAATGGCATCCTTTGAAGCACACACATTTTTATTTTTGATGCAGCACAGTTTCTTGCTTTTGTCATTTCTAACAAACCACTGCCTGCCTAATCCAATATCATAAGGATTTACACCTATATTTTCTTCTAAAAGTGGTATAGCTTTAGTTCATGCACTTAGGTCAG